GGATTGAACCCCGAGCCCCTGAGCCTGCTTGTAGGCATTTTAATCTGCTGAGCTATTTGTCCAGCCCCTTTTTGTTTTTTATTTTAATCAATACCAGCATTAGGAAACACAATAAGCTCAAATATATAGCATTATGAGACATTTTAAATATTTAGTGAATGTCACCAAGAGAAATTAAAGAGTACCTTAGGGCCAGTGAGATAGCTCAGAGGATGAAGCTCCTGGTTAGGCAAGCACAGGGACTGGGGTTCAATCCCTGGTAATGCATGCCCCATTGGCCCTGTCCCCAGGTGCAGTGACACACCCTTGTAATCCCAATCCTGGGGAGGCTGAAAACAGAAGGATCACTGTAAGTCCAAGCTGTGTAGTGAGACCCTGTACAAAATACACAAATTTTTTAAAAAGATAAAATATTCGAAGTGAAATAGGCTGTTGACTGTATAGTTTGAAGTGAATAAGTCAAATGCTAACATTATTTTAGTAGACAGGCCATAAAAGAAAATTTATATTTAGTAATAAGTATAAAACAATTTGGGGAGTTACTGCAACTAATAATAATGCAACTAATAATGAATGGAGAATGGCAGGAAAGAGGGAGAGATTTGAGAAAGAAGCAGAAGCAAAAAGAAAGGGATATAGGAGTAATAAATTGAAACAAGGAGGACTAAAACTAGCAAAAACAAGAAAAAGAGGAAAGCCACAGAAAAATAGGAATGGGACAACAAACAGAAAGAAAAGGAAAAATCCTGGAGGTCAATGTGAATCTACTTTCTACATTGAAGCCTCAAAACTGCTAGGTGAAGATCTTGTAGGACAGGCCCTGTAAGGCCCTAAGATACACCTTCTGTGCAAGACTTAGCAGTATCCTCTGAGATGTGTTAGGATTTGGGTTGGAAATAACTGAAAAAGGATAGGGCAGAAAATTCGCTAAACAGTGAGGCACACTGTATCCACAGAGAAGGCCATCTGCCATCTCTCAGCACAGGAGGCCGTGACGATGGCAGATAAAGTGAAGACACAGGAGAAGACAATGAGGACTAAACGTCATGATGAGCAGAAGTTGTTCTCTGTACAGCGACCACTCATGAGGGAAAATCTTGAATAAATTTAGACCCAAACAAGACAACAAAAATCTAGTATCGTCACCATAATTGCCATAAATGAACACATCCTGCGACGAGCCACAAGTTAGATACTGTCACAGAGGCTAACATGCACACTCTAACACATATTTAGGCAAACAAACAAATAGTGGTCACAGACAATAACAATGAGCAAGATATGAATGTGGCAAAGGGTAAAGAAGATCCGGTGAGCCCAGGACATACAAGGGATAAAGAAGCAGGAACACCACTGATGATGACACAGCATAGCTTTACAGATGGAAAAAGCACCAAGAGGAGGTACACTGAGGCATGCAGTCTGCTTTTACTCCAGACAATGCCCTGATGAGCAGACGCCCTGCAGCATGAACAGGCTCATCAGAAGCACCACATGAAGGCAGCGGGCTGGAGCTACCACAGGAAAGCAAAGAAGCCACAAAGAATCACCTGAGACAAGGCTCAAGATTTCCCAACAAGCATGGCTGTTGCATCTGCTGGGATCAAAAACAGAATGTTGAAGTGGTGAAACTTATGTGGTGACACAGAACAAATGGCAACTTAATAAGTCTACGCTATTGAACATCTTGCTAGGCATCACACTGCCATTTCCTACAGTATTCATATTGTCACTGACTACTTCAATGTTTTGATTTATTTTCAACCTGTGTATTCAACACTCTATCCAGCTTATTCCTTACTGTAATGGAGGGAGATGAGAGCAAAGCTATACACTTGCAAACTCAGCTGGCCAAGATGCCATCTGTGTATGCACCAATTTCTCAGGACGAATAGACCCATTATGTATAGCAAATGCATACAGATATGAACATCATAATAACTGTGGTACACTCATCCAGGCATGATCTCAAATGTTTGTAACGAAAAAGAGAGAAAGAAATCCCTGCAGCTCATGTCATCTGGGATATGAAATATTTATCTAAATGAGGCCAATGTGTATGTATACAAGGCAAATATTGGCCCACTACATATATGCTTGCATATTTTCAAATCCAGGAAAGAAGTTTACCTAGCAAAATATAAAGGTGCACTAGAAAATGCTTTCTAATTTTGGAATGTAGCGGAGTGGTAGCATGCTGCACCAAGCACCACACAGGAAAAGGTGGCTATAGGTTAACGACATTGTGCTCCATCTCACCTACAGATGGCTCAGCACCATAAAGCTACGGTGAAGCTCACCACCAAAACCCATCAAAGAATGGACTTGAATTGTGACCTAAGAATTTTTTAAAAATCTTAAGTGAAATTCTGCATCACTTGTAATTTTTTGTTTTAATTCTAATTTGTACTTTGTTTAAAAAATAAAAATTTGAAAAAAGTAAAAGAATTTCCTGAAACTTAACTTATTATTTCTTAAAGGTTTTTAATGAAGAAAAATGTGATTAATAACTTGATAAAGCACATGTACCATGAAACTAGAAAATGTGACAATAAATGGAGCACATGAATTATTTCAAAACCAAAAATCAGTCAAAAGTATTCACTGTCTCCACTACTCTGTCACATGAAGCAAAACTTCATATATTACCACAGGACCCACAGGCAAGACAGACAAAAAACAATAAAAGGACTGAAATTAAAGATAACACTTTATGCACGAATGAGGAAAGAATCAAGACATAAAATCTGAAACCAGTAACAGGGAGACTCACTTCCCAAGGCCAAGAGCAGCTGGAAAGGTCTCAGTGCATCTACTGCTTTCAACACTCATTAAAACTACCGTGATACAATGAGGTTGCATGGTACACAATCAGAACACAAGTATATGAACATACAGCTCTCTACCATATTGAGCTCAACGTCAGGACACACATAAACTGAAAATTCTAAAAACATGCTTTTTAAGCACCAGTGCTTATCTGATTATCAGTAAAAATATTTTTAAAAGCTTGCTGTTAATACAATCAAGAGTATAGGAAAGTCCTCTACCATGTGCATATAATGAACATTTTAGGAAAAAATTACATCATCAAAAATACTTTTACACAGAAAATTAGACTTGTTAAAATTTTTGCAAAGACTTCTGAACTCTGCCTTGAAAGCCATCAACTAGATGCCCCATCTGGGTCCTCACTCAGGCGCTGCCAATGTTGTTCTGTGCACAGAAATGCCTCCTCACTTACACTATAGACCAAGGACATACTGACACCTACAAGTGATCTCATGAGCCACCAAGTTTAAAAATTACTGTGTACTATATCAAAACATTTAAACATCTACAGTTCCAAAGAGAAAAATCATACACACAAATAAAGTGGAGATGATCTAAATGTCAGGAGAGAAATGCACGGACTTATTTGACGATGTAATCAGCTAGGAATTCTTACATTATAGATGTAATATAATTATACTTATAATACCGGTAAAACTACTCTAAATTTAACAAGCATCTATTAGAATTCCTTCTGAACAACAAGACTGTTACATCTATCAAACCCTCAATGAAAAAGTACAGGAGAGACACCATTTCCCACGATTTGGCACATGCTCCCCAGTTAGTCACTTAAACCTGAAGCTCAGCCAACCTGTAGAGACATTAAATGTCCAAGAAGTACCAAGAAATTCGTTTGCTTTACCCAAACTGAGATTTGGTAAGCCTGACAGCACAAGTCAATTGTAAAATATGATTCATCACTCCTTTATGGTGGTAAATTGCTCATTTTTATGCAAAGTGAGCCTGATTTTTGCATCACAAACACTGAAATGTGCCCTCTATGTACCTTCAAAGAACATATGAAATATGAACATAAAATATGAAAGAAATCACTACAGAAGAAAATCTAGGCCAGGTATGGTGGTACCTATAATCCCAACACTGAGGAGGCTGAGGCAGGAAGATTGCTGTGTGTTCTAGGCCAGACTGAAGTACATAATGAGACCCTTCTCAAAAAATTGAGCCGGGGAGATGGCTCAGCAGAATAAGTGCTTCCCTGGCAAGTGCAAGGGCCTGAGTTCAATCTCCGGTTCCGCAAAAAAAAAAAAAAAAAAAAAAAGTAATAACAGAAAAGCTGGAGTACAAAATCTTCAGAAATGAAACTGTAAAACCAGAAATGTTACAGTGAGTAAAAGATAAAAAACCGAACAGTATTTCCACTCAGAAAAAGAAAACACTTTATAAAACTGACATACTGATGGAACCATTATAAGGAATGTTGACTGTCTCCAAGTGACCAAAAAAACTAAAACAAAAATAAGGTTTTCTCAAAATAATTCCTCATTACAAATGAGAACATAAGCAGATATTAAATGGAAGGACTTACACAGGATGGATACAGTAAAGACAGAAAAATGTGAAACAACATAATTAAATTTCTTGGGCCGGCCAAATAGCTCAGCGGATTAAAGCGCCTGCAAGCAGGCACAGGGGCGCGCTGAGGGGGCATGGTGGCACGCACCTGTAATCCCAGCTCTTGGGAGGCTGTAAACAGGCGTATCACTACGAGTCCGATTTAGTAGTGGGGCCCCGAACAACCTGTAGACTCTTCTCTCCCCCCCGAAAAAAACCTCTCCATAATTAAATTTCTCTATAAATCCATGAAACTCGAATTATAAAAAGCCTAGGGGGTGGGCTGGTGAGATGGCTCAGCGGTCTAAAGCGCCTACTTAGAACAAGTTTAGCAAAGCACAGGGACCGCGGTTTAATCCCCCAGCACCACATGCCAGCCAGCCCCGCCCCCTGGTGGGCTGAGCTGGCCACACACACACACACACACACACACACACACACACAAAAAAATAAAAAAAAAAAAAAAAAAAAAAAGCCTAGGGGACAGGGAGATGGCTCAGTAGAATAAGCGCTTCCCTGGCAAACAGAAGGACCTGAGTTCAATCTCCGGTTCCGCAAAAAAAAAAAAAAAAAAAAAAGTTTTGGCTCTCGCATTGGCCCGGCCCTCGGGTGTACTATGTCTGGCTCTTCCAGCGTCGCCGCCATGAAGAAAGTGGTTCAGCAGCTCCGGCTGGAGGCCGGGCTCAACCGCGTGAAGGTTTCCCAGGCAGCTGCAGACTTAAAACAGTTCTGCCTGCAGAATGCTCAGCATGATCCTCTTCTGACTGGAGTATCCTCAAGTACTAATCCCTTCAGACCGCAGAAAGTCTGTTCCTTTTTGTAGTCAAATGAATTCTTAAGAGTTTCCCAGACCACTTTTAACCAACCAGTGACTATTCAGAAAAAGAAAATTGAAGCCTGTACAACAACTTCCCCTTTCTTAACATGTGCCATAACATACAAACTTCTACTTTGTCAGTTCTTCACATCCACCTCTCTGGATTTTCATGAATTTCTATTTCACGAGGGTATTTTATATATGCTGGTGCCAACATACAATAAAATACTTAGTATAAAAAAAAAGCCTAGTGAGTTGGCTATGAGAACTAGGAACTACTGCCCCCTAGTGGTGGCAGTGCGGATGCTGTACATTAAGATTTAAATGGATTCATCCTCTGTGCCCCAGCAAATAGCTCCTGAGTGCTGAGCATCTGTGCCATTTTCTCAAATCTGCTTCTAGGGCAGCAAATGAATGTGCCTTGTGGCATTTAGACCAGTGACAGGACTAGACAACCTCGCTTTCCCATAGCCATGGAAAGCCAGTCCAGGTGTTCTGGAGACAAACAGCAGAGACCTCTCAGGAGTAACACGTACAGCAATGTATTCAGTGAATCAAGTAAAGTGCAGGGTGAATTCGCTAACACTCTCATTTGTGCACACTAAATGGAGATGTCCATGAGATGGATGGGTAGCTCAGGGGAACAGCACGTGCACAGCACTCATCAGCCTCTAGGGTCTATTGCCAGCATAAATACTGTACATGCAGCTATGGTGTGTAATCCTGACGTGATGAGCAAGGCCACAGGTGTGGAAAGAAGACACCTGCAACAGAGTGGTCATGCAGAGCACTGGTGATGTTTGGTCCCAACATTTCATTCTTTTTTTTTTTTTAATTTTTTTTTTATTTATTTGAGAGAGAGAGAGAGAGAGAGAGAGAGAGAGAGAGAGAGAGAGGTGTGTGTGTGTGTGGCCAGCTCAGCCCACCAGGGGGCGGGGCTGGCTGGCATGTGGTGCTGGGGGATCGAACCACAGTCCCTGATGCTTTGCCAAGCTAGTTCCAAGTAGGTGCTTTAGACCACTGAGCCATCTCTCCAGCCCCAACATTTCATTCTTTTAAGGGCTACCCTGGGTGTTATGTGACACTGATGAACAGCCTTAGCCTCTACCCCTGCTTTAAATGTAGTATATTATGATTGTAACAAAAAAGTTGAGACAGATTCACATATTTTCTGATGTACACAATCACCAGTGCCTGGAAACTACTAACTGCACAGGTGTAGTACACATTTATAAGCTCCTGACAAGGTACCCAGAATAGGCAGACAAAGACCTCAAGAGCTGCCAAAATTCACTCCACCCTAAACCCAAGCAGAAGGAATGACACCACCCACAGGACTCTGTCCTTGCACACTCTCTCCTTGTCTCCACCACTTGCAGTACTTCTCAGATGTCATGGATGTGAAGACCCAGAACCTACTACACCACCTGATGTTCTGTGATGACACCACTGGGAGGTGTAGAGGACAGACTAAGGGGTGCCTTGAACCAACACTAGCATCTTACCTCAGCTGTGCTTTTCTCCATAAACTATTGCCATGGGTTTCTTCAGGTGCTAACATGGAAGTTCTGTGCTCAGAGGTTGGGGAACACAGGAGACCCTTGTAGGGAGTTCAGGGATTACAGTCCCTTGTCACTTATGGAAGACATAACAAAGGCTGAGGTCATCTTTTTCCCCAGAGAGATACACAGCAGTACAAGGGGGAAAGGGTCTTGGATGCAACAGTAAGGTCATACCTCCCTTCAGCCCACTAAGGTGTTGGAAGGGAAAATGGGATTCCAGGAGTGGACAACTCAGTACAGAAAGGGAGAGGTTGGCCCAAGGGCAAGAAGCGAGAAGCATTTCCAGAACCAGCAAAAATTAGAGCTAGGAATGGAAGTGCTTTTTCCTTAGCTTTGAATAGGAATCTTGTTTTCAAACTGTTCAGCACTGTATCTTCATTGAAAAGTTCAATCCTATTCTTTTGTCATGGTAATGTAAGCCAGAGGGGGACTAAACTGGGGGATCTCTCTATACCAAACAACAACAACAACAACAAATTCAGAGCACAGCAAACAAACCCACATACAGGAAAAATTCCCAAAGGCGTACTCCTTTTCCAAAAGTGCAGTCATACTGTCTCCTGCTTAGGTTGCTCTGAAGAAGCTGATGAATGCAACACTCAATACAGGAAACAATCTGATGAAGGTCATGCTCTACAAAGGACTTCGGAAAGTTGAAACAATGAGTCTATGGGTGCTACCTGCGTTTGAAAGGGAAAGTATCATGATGAGCCCAAAGGAAGTTGACAGTTCTTCAATTGCTGTCACCACAGAAACAATATGACTTCAAGGCACGGAGTTCACAGTTGCAGTTGCTGATTTCAACTCCCTCTAACAAGTCTTGCTCTCCTATTTGTTTTTTACTTTTCTTTGCTCCTCCCTATTCAAATATCCTTTTATTCCTAAGCCTTCACGTGTCTGCAGAACTTAACTATGGGTGTTCACCTCTATTCCAGTGCTGTTTCTGTACAAACTCTATTTCAATCAGCATTTCAAATTTTAAAAAATGTGTGGGAGTAGTCCAAGAACTATAGCAATTATTTCAGAGATGATAACCCCCTTTCCCTTACCACTATGACCAATAGCATCTACATGAACATGTAGATAGCCTAATATAACATGTTTCTCTATTTCGGTTTAGCAGGCAGCTCTTTCAGAAAGTTGATGTTGGCTGGGGAGATAGGTCAGTGGCATAATCACCTGCTTGACAAGAGCAAAGTCCGAGTTTGATCCCTGGTACCAAAAAAGAAACAAAGTTGGCCTTAGCAAGAACCCCTCGCTTCCTTTGGAAATAATTTACATTTACATTTTTCTCCACATTTTAAACTCACTGAAAAGGTCTAACTGTAAAGAATATTGTACTTAGTTACCTTAATCATCAGGCACCTAGCAAGAGAAAATGGCCTGAGAAAATAAGCCATATTGGTTAAGAGTTGTAAGAATAGTGAACTACATTCTAGGGACCAAGTGTCTTTCTCAGCCAACAGGAAGTGCTGCCTCTCTCTACTACAGGGAGTTTTATCCACTCCCTATTAAACTCCTGGTTTTCCAAGAATTCAAAGTGAAAAATAATGAGGATTTCTCTAAAATCTTAGATTTCTACAAAATTTACATGGTAAGAGAAAGGGTTTAAGAGCATGAGTTCCCATGGGTCATTTCAAATACAAAGAGTCACTAGTAACAGGTGGCCTTTAAACAACAGGGCAATTACTGTGCTCTGATTATCTATACTTCGCTCTGAATTGAGCAGTCACGTGGCCACTCAGGATGCTTCCAAGGAATCAGGGTCCTACTCCTGTTTCCAATAAAAATTCTCCAAGGCCTTTTTTTTTTGGTGGGGGGGGATGGTACTAGCAATCGAACTCAGAACCTTGCGCTTGCCAGGCAAGCACTTATTCTACTGAGCTATCTCCCTGACCCTTCAATGTCCCTTTTTGGTTCAGGACCTCATTCCACTGTGTGGTGAGAACATGAGCTGGTTTTTTTGTTTGTTTGTTTGTTTTGAAATCAGTGAGAGTGTTGCAGGCAGCTGAGTTAAATAAAAATACTATAGGCAATCAGACAGGGCTAGGCCCTCATGGAGACAGCACGGAAGACAAGATACATTGCAACTGTAAGAGGGACGGATGCTCCTGCTGTGGGCAAGATCTAGAGAACAAAGATTGAACAAATGCTTACCTCCCTAAAGATAAGCACATGGGACACCTTGAGGAAGCCTGGAAGAATCATTAATCCGACTAGTACTAGTTAGCTACTGGACAAAGTCCTGTTCTACATTCATGCCCACTTGCTATGTGACTCGCTTCCCCACTTGGTCCTGGACTTAATCAATTTTACCTGAGCAGTGGTGCTTGTACTCTTATTGGTTGACCGTAGTTTTGTCCCACCTCATGCCCACCTAAGCGAGTTCCCATGTTTTCTATCTTAGACCCACATGGTTCTACTCTATAGAAGTCCCTGGAAGAGACAGCTTCCTAGGGACTACACGCTCAGGGTCCCCCTACTGTCCCTTTCTCAGACAGGAGCTTTCTTTCCCCCAATAAATATATTCTGCTCATAACCTCCATTTGTTCCTAAAATTCATTCTTCTGTTTTATTTATTTATTTATTTATTTATTATCTTTTGGCAGAACTGGGGATTGAATTCAGGTGCTTGCGCTTGCCAGGGAAGTGCTTATTCCACTGAGATATCTCCCCGGCCCCCCATTCTTCGGTTTTAGAGAACATGAACTCATTCCAGCTACCTTTCAGATCGGATGTTTCATTTTTTCCCCCATATCAAGAGGAGAGATCTGACATAAATAACGGTGATAATCTGGACTATAGGATTTCATGACCTGCTTGACAAACACTCTGCCTCTAAGTTACATCCTGTCTCAGCTACTCTTCTCTCATTGCTGGGACAAATACCTGACACCCAAATTGAAGGAAGGAAAGGTTTATTTAGTTCACAGTTACTGGAGGTTTTAGTCCATACTCAGTGGGCTCCACGACAGAGCAGCACATAGCAGACAGCGACCGTTCATGGCAGCAGAAAAGAGCAAGAGAGCATGACAGCAACAATGACAACAGAGAGGAAATCTGTCTCTTCAAATTACATTGAGGCTATCCACCCCAGGCTGGGGGAAGTACTCACACCCATAATCCAGCAGCACTAAGACCCATAATCCCAGCCTTGATCATGAATTAATCTCAAACTCTAGAAGTCTCCACCCCATAACTGCATGATGCTTTGGGGGGATAACTAGAAACAAACCATAACATTCTGTCCCTGGACCTCCAAAGTCTCATGCACATCCCTCCATGCAAAAGACATTTTAGTTCATCTCTAAGAGTTGCCAAAGTCCCAACAGTTTCAGCATTGCTGAAAAGTTCAAGTCCCAAGTCTCTTCCAAGAGCGAAGCAAACTCTTAGCTGTGAGCCCCTGTACAAAAGTTAAACACTTCCAACATTCAAAGGCACAAGATAAACATTACTATTCCAAAAGGTAACACAAGTCCAAAATCCAGCGGGGTCAACATTAAGTCCTATAGTTCCAAGTGAAACATCCAAAGCAACCTGTGCTGAGCTGTGAGCTCTGAAGCCCTTACATGGCTCTGGCCTACAGCATTCTTGGTGGTCGCTCCCATGGCTCTCTCTTAGGATGGCCTTGCTCTCTCTTTACAGTTTCCCTTACATGATCTACATTCCTAGCTTTTCCAAACTTATGGGGTTTCCAAGTAATAGGCTTCCCACTCACAATTTTATATATTGCTCTCTCAGGGGCACACTGCCTGGCCTTCCAGTCCTTCTTCTGAAATCGAGGTGGAAGCCTTCTTAACCTCAGAACTCCTGTATTCTGCAAGCACCTAAAATCAACACCACATGGATGATGCCAGGGTCTGCTGTTTGTTAGCTGGAGCAGTAGCCAGGCTTCCTTCTCTCCTGGCTGTAGGAGTCGAGTTCTTGGATTGCTGAGCACTCTTACCATGCTTCCAAAGGGATAAATTCTCCATGCTGTCGCCATTCTGGAACATGGGGCTCTGTGGCATTCCCCTGAAGGCAAAGTCCCTCTCCTTTGCAACTCTGAGACTGCAAAGGGTGGAGACCTTCTATCTTCAGTGATGCCCTCAGGCCATTCTTTTGATTTTCTGGTTCCTTCCTGGCAACGGAGATCCTCTCAGCTCTATCTTTTCATTCCACAGCTGTATTGGAGTTTCCTTTCTGGCCAAACTCACATTTTAAATCATCCTGCTGGGCTCTTTGCTCTTGATTCTCACCATAAACCTGACTAAAATCCCAAGAACAACCATTACATTCCCTCAATACTTTGCTGCTTTGAAATTTCTTTTGCAAGCTTAATCAGTCCACTACACTTAATCTAAATTTTAGGCAAAGTCTCTGGACATGAGCAGAATTCAGACAGATTCTTTGCTAAGCCAAAACAGACAGCATTTGGAGTTCAACAACCAATGCAGGGACTGGAGAGATGGCTCAGTGGTCTAAAGCACCTATTTGGAACAAGCTTGGAAAAGCCCAGGGACCGCGGTTGGATCCCCCAGCACCACATGCCAGCCAGCCGCGCCCCCTGATGGGCTGAGCTGGCCACACACACACACACACACACACACACAATAAATAAATGTTAAAAAAAAAAAAAACCAACCAACCAATGCAGTCCTTCTTCCCAGCAGAAACTTCCCCAGCCTGGTCTTCACAGGCAGGTTTTATATCAGCATTCTGGTCTTCTGAGCTCTGACCAGAATCTCCCCTACAGAATAGCTGAAGGTATTCTAGCTCTTCACTAATAGGTGACCTCTCCAAACCTTTCCTACCTCTTCCCATAAGCCATTCCTAAGAACTCATAGTCCACATGGTCAGGTTTAGCCACAGCAATGACCCCACTCCTCAGGTACCAAATTCTGTCTCAGTTATTCTTCCCTCATTGCTAGGACAAATACCTGACACCCAAATGGAAGGGAGGAAAGGTTTATGTAGCTCACAGTTACTGGAGGTTTTAGTCCGTACTCAGCGGGCTCCATGGCAGAGCAGCACATGGCAGAGCAACCTTTCATGGCAGCAGCAAAGAGAAAGAGAGTAAAATGTAGGAGTGACAGCAACAACGCTACAGAGAGGAAGTCTGTCTCTCTTAAATTACATTGAGGCTATCTGCCCCAGGTTAGGGGAAGAACTCGCACCCATAATCTCAGCAGCGCTAAGGCCCATAATCTCAGCAGCACTAAAACTCATAATCCCAGCCTTGATCATGAATTAATCTCAAACTCTGTAAGTCTCCACCCCATGACTGCATAAGGGTTTGGGGGGACAACTAGACACAAACCATAACACAACCTTTGTTCAGATTCTCATGGCACTTCTCAAAACCTACTATAACTTTGGAAAAATAGTGGAAATGTAGAAATTCATTTTGCATATAACAATGCAGTCTGACAAGATGAGTTATGAGTATGAGACCCTGGATCACAAACATTTAAACTGTCAGATCCTCTCAATGTGCTACAAAAAAGAAAGAGGCCAAGGACCTCACGCATCCAGCTGCACCCGGTGGTCTTCCCAATGCCCAGCCGCTAGGGCTCCCTAAATGGTGTAGATAAGCCTAGGGCCACCCAAGATGGCACTGTGGGCAGGGAGTGTCACAGTGGGGACAGGATACAGGGAACTCTCAACCAACCCTGGTTCAGTATAGGGGACAAGGGACAGACGCACCAAAGATTTGGAGAACCTCAGGTTTCTGGAGCTAACCACTTTTTTCCAGACCTAGTCCCGATTCCATCCCATCCCTGGCTTCTGTGGTACATTACCATTGCGTGGCTTCCAGGCGTCCCAGAGTCATTGTCCATGCAGCATGCAGCCAGTAGAAGCCACAGAAGGAGGCCTAGCAAGGTGCCCGCTCTCAATGTACTGAGACTGGCACTACAGCGACATGACAGCGGAAGTACCCGCCTGCGTTGGCCCCCCTGATTGGACAGTTCATACAGACCGCCTCTTTATCGCTGATTGGCTCTCGCCCCTCGGTCCTTCCTCTGAGCCACAAAGAGAGTAGAGAAATGAACTCCAGCCTGCTTGAACAGAGCTCACTGATAGATTGCATCCCAGGAACGTCAGAACCAGGCGCTTTCCTATGATATGATCTTCTCCTCGCCTAACAATAACTGTATTCAAACAGTTTACGCCTGCCTTTCCACACCTACCCCTGTTTTTTTTAATGGATTTAGTATGCTGTTCCTGCAAATGGAATCACTTGTGTCCTTAGAAGGTTCTGTGGTTAGTGTCCTACGGAAGAATTAAACCCTTGATGTAAGAAAACTTCAGAAGTGAAGTCCAGACCAGGCAAAAATGAATGGATGGAGGGGTGGCTGTTTAATGGGTCAATATTTGTAAACGTGACAGTAGGCTTGTAGTCACGATTTTCACACTCTCTCAGTCTATTCATTTTTAGCCAAGAAGATGAATATTTGTCCACCGAAAGGAACGCCATTATTGTGTAAGTGAAGAAATTACAGTTAAATAATAGCAATATTCTCAGAAGAGTAAAGATGAAAGAAACGCAAACGTTCTAACTTCCCTAGACAAGCTTCATACTTCACCTAGAGTTGGCTACTTTCAGCCTAGAAAGCAACTATAAGTTAAATAACACACAAAGGGATCTTTTCCATGCTCATGATTTTTATCTTTATCACTCCCTACTTTTTTGAGGAGCTGCATTCCCATAATTATAGACATAAGTAGCATACAGGAGAGAAAAGGAGTATTTCAGAGACAGTAAAAGAAGTCAGCAAAGGAAATGCATAGAGTTTGCACAGCGTGATGTCAGCTTTGCACTCGGAGGCCGCCCAGTGCAATATAAATGCAGCTGCACTCACCACTTCCCACCTATCTTCCAAAACTGGACATGGGATTCAACAAGTCGTGACTCTTCCCTTGTCTTATGCCTGATTGCTTTCAGCCTAATCTATTAAGGAGGTTTTATTCTTGAAATAATGCACTTTGGCCTTGTCATGTTTACCTTTACCCAACACTTTATTCCCTATTGTAATTTTGTACTCATACATCCTTCTTTCAAAATTAATAGAATCCATGAGATTTTATACGTTTTTCACTTCTGTGGCCATTCTGTATGTTTATGCTTTGGTTTTAGATACGTATGCTGAAGACAAGAATTATTCCTCTAAAAACAGTTTCGGAGAGTCAAGCCCTCATGGTGCTGAAACACTGTACAAGGCTTCTAACGGCACAGCGGGGATAAAATTTTCAGAGCCTTCCTGCCCCTTTCCAGTCTACATTCTGACTATGATTAATGATGCCTCTCAGCGCTGAGCACACTCACCTGCCTCTGGTTCAAACTGCCTTTACCATCAGTGTTGAATTGTATTTTATTTTAAAGAGTATAAACAAAAACAAAAGCATGAAAATATAGCAAAAACAAAGAGAGAAACAGAGTAACACACACTGAAGATAGCAATGTGCAATACAAAAACCACAGCTGAATACCTCTCATCTTGTTCTTCTAAATGTGTACTATTTCTAATGTCTTATCAATTATGAATATACTCTATTTTTTAATGTATCTCATTGTTGCAGGGTCTCACTACATAGCTCAGAGTCAAGGTGAACCTCCTGATTTCAGCCTCCCCAGTGCTGGGATTACAGGTATGCATCACTATGCGCAGAGTCTGGCTAGCTCAGGGCTGGCACAGCATGTGCTGCTGGGATTTTACTGTGGTCCCTGTGCTTGCCTAAGCAGGCACTTTAGTCTGCTGAGCTTTCTCATCAGCCCTTATATTAACTTTAACATAAATTTTAAAAAGGAAAAAGGACAAAAAAATTAAGGTTTATTGAAGGCAAGCATTAATATTCAACTATTTGTCCAATCTTGCATGTCTATATCTGTTAATCTGAGCAACAGATTTGATAATAAAAATATATAACCACCATTGTTAATTTGCTGTTCTTCTTTTGCAATTCTGTACCATTAGTGTTGATGCTTTTTTTTTTTTTTTTTTTTTTCTGCAGAACCAGGGATTGAACTCAGGCCCTTGCGCTTGCCGGGCAAGCACTTCTACTGAGCCATCTCCCCGGCCCCACCATCGGTGTTGAAATGCCACCTCTTTCATGCGTGTGATTAGTTTCACACTTTCTTCACGGGATCTTGTCTGTTTTTGTTTTCTCACATTGTCACCACTGAGAGTGTTATGCTAATTTATTTTGGGAATATTGTACCTTCTGAGAGACAGCAATAGCCAAGAAAAAAAAAATAGCCAAGAAAAAAGATCATCACTGCCTTCACCTTTTCAGGACTCGGATTGATAAAAACTTACACTGAGCATGAAATCTTGGAATAAAGAGTGACAAGTAAGCCAGGGGTCTATAGCAGTTCAGTAACATGGCAAAGCAAAGCCAATGAGTGCTAGATGATGCCTGGAAGTGATCACGTTTAAACAGGTGCTGAAATATATATGTTCATGACGGAGATGAAGGAAGGACATGGAAAAGCAATTTCCTTGCAGATACGAGACAGCACATGCAGATGGAACTGTCATGATGGTACACTTTGTTAGCATGTTCATGGTTATTAGAGTGTTAGCACAGAAAGCACTGGCATTCACATCTTCACATTCCTGTGGATATTCTTCATGGGTTCTTCTGAGTCAGTGCCTACATGACAGATCGCCAATGAGTAAAGGAGTCCTCCATCAGCCTGAAAAATGCCGTATAACATGGATCCAGTTGTCCGTAAGAGCAAGTTTGTCTTACGCATATGTCTGTGGCCATATACTTGTTTGAGCTGTTAGTTGTGCCTGCCTGAGGGGAATGGAGATAAACGTGGACTTTGGAATGTAAGCTTTGTGGCCAGTAGTTTCCTCCTCACAGGTTTAAATTCTCCTCCTTTGAACACTAATATTCCTAGAAGGTAAGTGCTATGTGGAGTCATATGATACGCTTGTTTACAATTGATTGCTTGAGAGATGTGTAGGGTATTTGTAAAGCACACTCCTATGTGTGTCTGGTGAGTCATGGTAGTATGACCTGATGGACCAAATCTGGCCTCTGGACCCAGCCTTGAGGCTCCTTCCCTACACTGTGCTTCCTGGCTCTCATAAAGTAGTTACCCTTTTTCAGTTGCTTTCATCATTTTTTTTTCTTTTTGGTGGAATAGGGGATTGAACTCAGGCCCTTGCGTTTGCTAGGCAAGCGCTTATTCTACTGAGCCATCTCCCTGGCCCCAGTTGCATTCATCATGATGTTTGCACATTGGAAGAACTCAAACCCAGACTGCAATCGCTGAAACAGTAAGATGACTTTTTGCTTTGCTTTTGCAGCTCTGGGAAATCAAAGGCAAGGAAGGCATTTTTCTGCTAGGTGAGCACTGGAGCACTGATGGACCGCAAGCCCTCACCCCCAACCTCCCCAGCATAGTTTTGTTGAGGTTTCCTGAGATTTTGATGTTGTTTCTTTGTGTTTTTAGAGAAGGGGCTATCATTAGATAGCCCAGGGTAGCCTATAACTCACTTTTCTCCTGCTTCCACCCCCCTACATCCTGCAATTACTGAGATTGCAGGCTTGTCACTACACCCAGCCTGTGAGTTTTATGTCTATGCCATTTTTTCCCTATCAGCTCAAGTATCATGCTCATTCAAAGCTGTGCAAATTCTAGCATCAGAAAGATTATATATGTGCCAGCTCAGCAGTGGTCCCTCCCCACTCTAGCCTCCTGGCCTGGCTGAGACCCTATAGGTATTGTGCCAGGCGGCATGTGCAGCTGTGCAGACCAGTGGTGTCATCAGATGGTGCAGGCAGTAAACACAGGCAGGACCTGCAAAGTAGGTGGGAAGGAGGGCCTTCCTTGTGACCACAGCCACACGTGGTGTGGCTGTGGGTTTTTCTGCTCCACAGTTGTGTTGACACAGCATAGTATGCCGTGTGGACTTTATAGCGAGCTGATGACCTTCACGCTCACACCAAAGAGCTCGTCCTATGCAAAACCAAGGAGGTAACTCCACAGATAGGCGACCCTTGCTCTCTGGCTGAGAGCTGTAGCTGAGAGCCGGCACCACAGGGCCAAGCCACACTTCCATACTGGTAGATGAGCATTTTTTCCTATGCTTATTTCTTCTCTTTAGAGTCTCTTCAGATTTACGGTTGGTCATGTATCTTATATGCTAATTAAAGTCATTTATTATTTCTAGAAGGTCTTTTGCCAGGTCCTATGGGACTGTTTAACTTAGTGAGGTTGCTTCTAGGCTCAGTTTTATTTCATCCTTTCTAGTTTGTTTTCTTTCTACACTGGCCATAATTTCCAAATCACTATTGACTATGAGTGGTAAGAGCAGATTTCAATCTTTCTCCTCTTAGGGAGAAACCTTCAGTCTTTTACCATTAAGTGTGAGGCTGGTTGTAGGTTTTCTGGTGTTCATCAGGTTATGTTTCCCATTATTCTGTATTTGATAAATTTTCATCCTGCATGTTGGCAATTTTTTTCCAATGGTATTTCTTAGGACGATTTTCTGTTTCTTCAGATTTGTTCAGATGTCATGCAGTGCACAGTGCATGTAGGGCTTGTAGTACAGGTGGCAAAAAGAACTTACCAATAATCAAAGAATGTAGAAAAAGAAAACTCCATATACCACAAGAGAACAGCAGATCAATCCAAGAGAGGACCTCACCTTGAGTGTGGAATGCTGAGGTATTTTGTAATTGATTTTAATGGGATGATGGGATCTATTAGCATCATGTAGTCCAGCAACATTTGTATAAAGTTTTACTGACCTATTACCCAAACATCTCAGTTCTAATGATAGCAGGTATTCTTTGAAGACCTACATACTGTTTTTCTTTGAGAAAGTCCTGGGCCTTTGGTATTGCTAAAAACAGTCCTTCTGAGTAAAACTAACAAATAGGTGAAGATTGACTAGCTAGT